TTTTGAGATTTTATAATCTATAATTAAACAAGAAAATTTAAGCAAAGAAAAATATGCATTTTTTGGGGGGGGCAGAAATTAAATATATAACTGACGTCCTTTATAATTTTGTTTTTAAAGTTTTAAAAGCTATAATTAAGAAAGAAAAATAATAATTAGGTATGTTTTATTTCTTTAGAATCAATAAATTAAATTTATTTATAGAGAGTGAAAGCATTTTGTATCTTTTGGTAACCGGAATATTATAGGTGGAGATACGAGTGTATAAGAGGGTGAGATTTTGTTGTTATTTTCAAATATAAATGAGGGGGAAAAAAATTAAATTAAATTATTATTTTAAAAAGATATTTTTGATTTTTCAGGTGTTATAAAAATATTTTGGGATAAATTTGCGTAGTTGGAAGTAAAATAATTGAATAGAAAAATTCACAAACGAGGAAGGAAGCGAGAACCATTGGCTCGCCGACCAGGAAACCTGAATGAGAAATTGACAGAAACAACCCTCTCAAGTTTAAGTCGGTTTGGTTTGGTTCGTTAGATATCTGAAAAGAGTTTTCTTGTTAAAAAAAATATTATTAGTTTTCTAACGGGTTGCTAAAACCGATGAGATTTCTCGCGGGAGCCACCGCCTGCGTGAAGAAATAAATTAAAAATCAATTACAAATACAAAAATATATATTTTTTTTTAATTAAAGAAGAAGAAGAAAAAAAAAAGAAAAGAAAGGCAAAGTTGGTGTTGTGCCTCCCATGACCTCCCTCGACCTGTGCTGTGTTACCCAATACCAAAACCCAAACGCCTCTTTCTTTTTTCTTTTTCCTTAAATAAAATTAAATTTCTTTTTTTTTTTATTCTCATCTCTCTCTCTCTCTCTCTCTCTAATTTATTTGACTCTCTATAAATCAGAGAGGATCCCTCCCTCTTGCTTTTCTGTCTTCTCCATTCTAACTACTCTTCTCTCCTTCTCGCCGTTCGTTTTTTCTTTTCCTTTTTTTTTTTTTTTTTCTTTTTTGTGTTTTTGGCTTGAGGAGTTTAGTAATATATTTAGCTGCAAAGAGTCCAGGTGCTGTACAGTTAAGCTTCAGGTATATCTCTATGTTTCTCTTTTAGGAGCTTCGTGCCGACTCCTAATCTTTTCAATTTCTTCTTCATGGTTTTGGGTTTCTTCTGCTTTTGTTTCTCACTATCTTTATTTTCTTCTACGGGCAACGTTCTTTTTTTTTTTTTTAATTTTTTTTTAATAGTTAAATTTGAACTCTGTAAATCTGGGAAAACCGAAATCATTTTAATCGAAATTTGTTTTTTTTTCTCTCTTAATTTCTTGAAACTAAAAGACAAATGGTGTACAAATGTTTTCTTTTTGTTGCTTTGACGACTCTCTGGTAAATTTTTATCTGATCTATTCAAACGAGACAAGTAATTCATGCACACATGTCCAAATACCGCGAAGGCTCCTTTTTTTTTTCTTTCCTTCTTTTCTCTTTACTCCAAGAGATTTTAGTCCTCCTTATTTTTTTCTTTTAATTTTAACTTTTTTTGGGGTCAGTTTCGTGTCACAATTTCTTTGAGACTGTCAAAGATGTCAACTGGTTTATCTTATTTTTGTTTGACCAGATCTTGGTTTAATCACTGTCATGCACGTGTATGGATCTGGTGATCAAATAACCACAAGACCCTTTCTCTAACGTAAAACTGTGTTAATTTGCAACAGATTTTTTTTATCAGATTGGCAACAGAGAGGAAAAATGAACCAGTGCGGGATCCTGCAAAATACCTATGCAACCCGTGAAGAGATGAGGAGGTCTATTGTTTGTCCAAAACCACGTCGTTTTGGTCTTCTTAACGCCACCATCGAAGATCTACCCATCAAGCCTGCCAAATGGCATCTTGGGTAATTTTATTTTTCCTAATCCGTGTATATTTGATTTAGATTAGAGGTCACTGTTAGTTAAGCGTTGGTTATGTTGAAATTTTCAGGCACCAAGCGGAGCTCTATGAATCAAAACCAGGGACTGATTTTTTGGATATCATCCTCACTGAGGTATGCCCTTTCCTAATCTGTTAAAATTTGGAAAGTTGGGTAATTTTAAAGAAACTTACTAGTCTGATACCATTTGTAGTGTTGACATCTGAACAAAATTTAACATTCCGTAAGCTAATGGTTTATTGGGTATGGACCAAGTTACAGTTTATCTTCTATGGCTGAAGTAAATTGGTGAACCAGAAAAACTTCATGGATTCTTGTTGATGTTCTCAATAAAGGAGACTTAGATTCCTTTATTCATTCTTGTTGTGAATGATAGTGCAAAAAAAAGTAAGTTGGTCTTTCCAAATCTGATTTGAACTTGTTAATTTTACAGGGTGCTTCTAGTATAGAACAAAGTAGCACACAAGTAGCGTCGTCGCCCCCATTTTTTTGCGGGTCGCCGCCGAGCAGAGTTTCTAACCCATTAACACAGGATGCTCGATTCGGGGATGAGAATCCTCCACTGTCAGTGCCATCACCGCCATCGTCCTCCGCAAGAAAAGCAGGCTGCATCCGAGGAAATTTTGGAAACAAGCCAGTGGTGCGAATCGAGGGGTTTGATTGCCTCGACAGGGATAGTCGAAATTGCAGCATTCCTGCTCTGGCATAAAACAACCCAATTCATCCATCAAACATAAAAAGAAGAGTATATAGTTGAAAGAAAAGGAAAAACAGCTACGTCAAAACTTTGGTAGCCGTTAATCAGAGAGAATTTTGAAGTTCTGATCCTTTTGTTTTGTGTAAATATGTACGGGAAGGTCGACCTGTTAATATGGTTATGTAAGTAAAAATGAAAGAAATAACGAATAGGGTTTGTTTAGATTTGAAGTTTAGGAAAGAAAATTTTAAATCAAAGAGCGATGAGAAGGGGGGGAGGGGGTATTATCCATCTCCTCTCATCTATCTTATTTTGTAATTGTCGGAGAGTCTTGAGCGAGGGAAGTTGTGTTTGTAATTTAAGGTTTTGGGTATTCGCGGCGTATGAATGCAGTCTATAAAATGTAAATTACTAAATCAAATCTTCTTTTTTCTTCTTTTTCTCTTTCAAAATGGTAGATTCTTATAGCTTTATTTATTTATTTTAGTTTGGATCTGGAATCTGATCTGATAAAGTCGTCTTCTCTGGACGATGATGATGTATTTGATATTTGCTTATGCTTCACGCAAATGCAATCTCTAGAGCCTGCAACTTGTCGGCAATTGTGTTAAGGAGCTCTGAATCAGTTACTGTCAGCTGCATCTAAAGCAAGTAAAAAGCTGTAAAGAATCTACGCCATTCTTTGGTTGAAAATCAATTAAGGAGAAATTGAATTATTGAATTTATTCTGGTAATTATTCTGTCTTGTGTCTTACAATCATGGCGCATGATGCAAGTTTGAATTGTGAGTTCGATTCTCACAACTTTTCTCTAATACTTGATTGACAGAAGCAGTTCATGTTAAGGGTTTTAATCAGCTGATTCTTGGGAATTATGTCCTCTTTTCAAAATTTTCAATATTTCATACTAATTAGAATATTTTTCTGTCTTAAACAACATTTTATACATTTAATTTCAATAAGATTTTATTTAATAAAATTGTATTTGAACAAAATGCTAACATGTGATAAGATTTTATTTTCTCGTACGTTCAAATTAATATGAAAAAAATATTAAAAGTGAGTTTAGAATAACAATTTCTTCTTTGATACTAAATATTTATAAAGTTGATTGATAAATTCCAATCAGATTGAAGTTAGAAATAAGAATGTTTTTCTTCTTAAGGTAAAAAAATAACCTGAACCTTTTTGAAAAATATCATCATCCTCTTTAATTTCCAGAATTGTAACTTTTAAGTATAGAAAAATGAAATAACGTGTTTTCTACTTCTAAGGAAATGATAAGGATAAAAAATTAAAAGAAAAAGACAGAGGAAAAATGTAGCTACTGCGGATGTGAGGAGTTCAGGATGGTGGCTTGACCGAGTCAGTTTTCC